AGGTGCTTGTTTTGGTGGGCTGTTGAGCTTTTTTGCAGGGGAATGTTGGTGGGTTGTTTCTTTTGGGTTTTTGTGTTGTTTTTTTGGGTGGTTTTTTTTTTTTTTTGGTTTTTTTTTTTAGTGTGTCATTCTAGGAAATACAGGCACAGAGAGCTCCCAAGGCCTGGAGCATACAAGTTCAGAGATAGAGATGGATACAATGTTTGACCTAAGACCTTGGAGAAAGCTTGAAAGTTTAGAACAGAAAAGTGAAACAGACACAAAGTAAGAATAAAGATTTGCAGTTTAAGCAGAAATATGTTTTAAGCAAGTAGAATTATGCCTCACGTAAGCATATAAATATGCTAAGCAAGATAGTAGAAAGTTTTAAATTCTAGTAATAGAACTTGTTACAGAGTTGGTAAAAAGCAGAAGATAGAGCATAAGTTACTGTATAGTTAGATGATTGGATAAAAAGAGATGCATTGTGGCAGAATCATGTAAAACAGTTAATGATTGGTTTATGAAGATGTTAGCAAGCTTTGTGGAAGTAGTTGATTGGATAAGAAATATATAAAAGACATTGTAACTGGAATTAAAGCGGTTTCTGATGTGAAGGCATTGGATGTAACAACCTTACAGTCTCACTTCCATCAGACTGATTTTGCAATAGACCTTTTTTAATCACCTCTTCAGTCGACTGTATCCCAAACGTTGTTCTGTCCAGTTAACATTGTCCTGTTGCTGTAAAGCTGGGATAAAGCACAGGGTCTGTCTGCCAATAGATGTGCCCACCCCATTGCAGTGTTTACCTAAAGGGGAGATCATAGAATCGTTTAGGTTGGAAAAGACATTTAAATGAAGGTTTGCAGTGTGAACTTCCACTTTGATGGCACAGGAATGCCTCCAGCTGTGTCCTTTGCCAGTGTGGTTGTACCAGTGGCCGTATTGCCAGCATGGCTTTTGGGGAATACATTCCTCACATGTGGCTCGGTGTGCAGCTCCAGGCTGAGCTCTGCGGAGCCAGGAGCCTGAGGCAAGAGAGCATGAGTTGTCAGCCGGGGAACAGGAGGCTCAGAGACACTGACCTCAGAGACACTCAGCTGGAAGCCCTAGGCATCCCCGTGAGGGTATAAACGTCCAGGGGTTCCTTTGCTCAGGGTCCCTCCTCTGAGGCACCAGCTCCGGCTGTGATTTTATGATTTTATTATTGCACCATGATTAAATTACTTTAAGGATCTGGACATCTGAAACTCTGCTGTGGGAACCCTGGGACAGAGCCTGCAGGGTAAAAACCTCTTCTGACTGCGAGTGTGGGGTGTGCAGCTGCGAAGGGGCCTTTATCCCATGTGAGGCGGTGCCAGGGTGGCTGGCAGAGTGGCTCCCGGATGGGCGGACGGGGAGTTTCCTGAACATGGCTGTTATTTTGCACATGTTCCCACCGTGCTAAGCAAGCTGCCCTGAACTTGTCGCCACTGCGGAGGCCGGTGAAATCGGGCGCAGCTCTCCGCTTTGCTGTGGCGGGGCGGTCTGCGCGCCATCCCGCTGTGAGGGCCGTGGGCCGGCCCGGGCCGGGCGGAGGGGCCGCAGTGCGGCCTCAGGGCGCGGTGGGGCCGCAGTGCCGCCTCAGGGCGCGGTGGGGCGCTGCGGGCAAAGCTCCCCGGGCAGCGCCGTCATTGCCGCCCCGCGGATCCCGCTGCCGCCCGCCCCCAGGCCCTGTGGCGTCTTACCTGTAGATATTAAAGAAACCTCTGCCCCCTCTCCCACAGCAGGTAGGGCTGGGCTGGCGTTTCTCTGGCGCAGTGGGGTAGTTCTAGAAACATTTCTTGTTAGAAAGCTGCAGGTTTGCAATGCACGCTTGCTCGGGAAGAGACCTGTGAAATGATGTGTTGTTTGTGGTAGGTTGTAGGGCCTCTGGGTGGTCTTCCAAAATTGTACTTCCCAGTATCTTGTCTGGTTTATAATTGTCTTTTACTATTAATATTGATAATTCTAGGAATTCTCTGCACATGTGAATTCAAGTCACTTGCAAGTAGTTTTCTGTCACCTGGATCTTTCTTTCATTGACCGTGTTTTGTTTTTTCTCTGTTTCTGATTCTTGGAATGTTCCTCCATAAGCAGGTTCACCTGCTTCAATGGAATTCCCACCTATGTGGCTTTCTATGCACCCCTGCCGAACAGCTTGGCGATTTATGTTCTGAAAGGTGTAATCCAAGGAGACGGTGCTCTGAGAAGTGCTGTTGTGCTGTGATCATTCACTGGGTCTCCCACTGTTACACTTCTGCATGTTTCATGATCTGTTTGCAATCCCTTCTGATGCAAAGTTCTGCTAATGTGGATTCCTGTTAGTGAGAGGTGCAGAGCTCAGACGTTTTCTTGCCAGCTAGTGCTACAAACATCAAGAACTGTGGCAGGGGAAGCCTGAATGACTTCAGCAGGCACTTCAGTGCAATATCAGAGTCATCCTTTCAGTGTAACAAAAGTGGAATACATGTGAAAAGACATCAAAGGACTTGCTGTAATGCATATAACAGTTTTAGGAGCAAGTATTCTATTTTTTTATCTTTTTGTTTAGAGGTTCCAGAACAAGAAATAAAAATTCTTATTATTCTGTTAAAATTTATTGAATTAGGCATATTATTGCCTGTTTTGGTTTTGTTTAAACATGCTTTTAGGTATAACAATTTTAAGATTTTTGATATGTTTTACACTGACAGATAATCTGTAAAACTTGCTTAGGTTGTATAGAACCCACATTTTTCTGTTTAAGAAAATGGTAAGAACAAATGTGAGGGAGTCATGTATGTGAAATGACATATCAAGGCAAAACCATAAACCTTGTATCTTGCCCTCATTTTTTATAAAATATTGCTTTCGTAGAATGTAGTGAAGTATGGCAATCTTGGAGTTAACCTGCAACAATCCATATACATATACAAATATACACATATGTATCCCCTGCTATCTTCTGTAGAAAACTTCTTGATGTTCTTTTCTTAAGAGTCAGAAGCCACACTGAAGGAAAAATCAGTCAAAAGCTTTTTGATACGTCTGTTTTGTATAAACTTTATTAGTTTATCGGATTTAATCTTGAAATATGATCATATGGTATGGAGGGTGGTTTTTATTTCTTGTGTTTTGTGTGTCCTATTACTTGAAAGGCTGTTTTTTTCACATTTTACAAAAAATATAGCTTCAGTACGTAATTGTTATTTAAATTTGTGATTAACTCACATGTGCCACATGTGTAAAAGGTCACACCTTGTGCATTAAGTGGTGCACTAGGTACTTGAACTTCACATGTCGACTCCACCCTGAGTACACACACATAATAAAACCTCCATAGCATGGTTAAGAGTACTTTGATACCTGGTTTGAGCCTTTCAGAGTGTGTTTAAGATGGGTACAAAATGAAATATATATCTGGTTGCCCCACTGCAAACTGCAGTTTGGCAGGTAGATGGTTGGAAGCATCCTCAGTCTCACGAAAGCATCTGAATTTCTCTCTTGCTCCCAAATGTTAGGAACTGCAAAGTAGGTTTGTGGCAAGATTTCAAGGGCAAGAAAAGGAATTCTATAGAAAACAATGCTATTAGGAATAAATGATGGCTTGAGCTTGTAATGACTCATGATCTATTGTAATCACAAGTTGTCTTTGTGGTGTCTTTATTATTGTTCTGAAAATGCATAAACCCACTTCTCTGTAATTTTTTTTTTTTGGTATTGTGGATAAAATACTGTGAACGAAATGATTTTATGGAGATTTTTCTGCTTGATCTCCCTTCAGGAAGTAGTATTCTTATAATATGTCTCTTATGATAAGGTCAGAATTTTGTATTCATTTATAAGGAAAAAATTGTGTAGATGTTTGTATTCATTTAGAAGGGGAATTTGGACTAACCTGGATATCTGGGGATTTTAATGCAGAATTGAACAGGACATTTTCAATCTATAAAGAACTTGAAAACATATCTTAGGTGGCAGCTTTAATGAACTTGTACCAACTTTTTCAAGTTGTGGTATTCTGAACAACGTATGTGGCAGTTGAGTAAGACTGACAACTTAATCCAGTTGAGCAGCCCCTTGTCAGCATGTAACTGAAACTCTGAGACCTAAAACATGTTAGGCTGCATACCTTTCATAGACTTTTTTTTTTTCTTTTTAAGAGCTAAGCAGTAGTGCATTTCAGAGTAAATACCTTCTTTTGAGGAATGTACAGAAGTATGCTATGCTTCATGTGTAGTTCATGTAATTGTCTTGCATGCATTCAGCAATGTCTTGGACACTGTGCTGCCTTCATAAAAATAACAGAATCATGCAGGCTGCCACTGAAATATTTGGAGCAAGTATTTAGTGTATTTCCTCTCAGCAATGTGTACCGTCTTCGGTGGTAAATGAGGTAGGAATATTGCCTAGTATAGTGTCTGTCTATCTTCACTCTAATTGTAGTAAATAAAAGAATACTTTAAATTGAACAATGATACATATTCCAAATTGTAGAAAGCCTTAAGCAACATTCTTCTTCTATGATAATTTATTTGTTTTGTCCTTGAGCTTTCTGCTCTAAATGCAAGTCATCTTTCTGGCTTCTTTAAGCTAAATATAAAACAACATTTAAACTTCCAGAAATAAAACCAAAAAAATTCAGCTAAACCAGGCATGTATGGAGAAGTAGCCCTAGGGATAAAGTGGATGTTTGGACAAGAGACAGGTTATTTCTGTACTTGTAGTTTTCTGGAAGGTGGTGCAAATATTTTAAGTGGTAAAAATAGCACCAGAGTCTCTGCAAAACAGAATATAAATATAATAAAAGTTAGTATTTTTCTAGTCAGGGGCTAAAACTATGTGAGAATTGAATGGTGATGTTATACACCAGCTTTAAAAACAAAGTGCCTGGACTTTCTGAATGGTGTTATCTTTCAAATACAGAGGAATGCTCTCTGTGCACTTCATGAAAATGAAGAGCTATTGAACTCTGTCAGATGTGTGTTTGCAAATGTGTTGCAAATTTTCTTAGGGCTTAAAACTTTTGCAGTGCTAAATGGTATCTCCTTGGCACGCAGAGTTGGGCATGCATTGGTTAATATATAGGCTTGGTGGTGTTTGGTTTTCTTATCAGCCTGCACAGTAAAATGTCTTTCGAATCTGCCTTGGAGCAGCTGGCTGGCAGCTGACGCTGCTGTTGGCACCACCCAGGTTTAACATGACATCACCAGAAGAAGTCCACCTCTGTGCTCAAGGAAGTTGATGTGGGAGCCACACTGTGAAGTGGATCATAACTGCTGAGAACACAGAGGGCATGTAAAAATGGAATTCCTGAAAAAATTTGTTCCCACTGCTGCTTCTGGAGATGTTCAGGATGTTGGGAGTACAGCCCGTGAAAGCTCTCCAAGGCTGCTGAAGATGAGACGGGTCAGACTGTTTTCATTAGGACAGACAATAGATGAAGATGAGGGGACACATGCTTTACATCCTGATTACTGTATGTATCCTGATTACTGTATGTACTGGTGGAAACTGATTGCTAAGCTCTTTCTTCAGATCATGATTATTTTGTTAAATTGACAAATTTGAATATAAAAGGCCTTTTTGTCAGAGTTCCTCCGACTATGGTGTCTTCAGCTTTAGAACTATTTCATCACTAATGCATTATCATTTGTTAGTGACATATATGGAAGCAATTTTTCAGGATTTCTAATTTCAAGATTTCTTCCGTCTTTGCATGCCTTTGTGGCTTTTCCCCCTCCTTTTTCTGTAATAAGAATATGTTTAAGTTTTTAAACTGTAATGTACATGCAATTAGGCACTAAGTTGTCTAGACAAAAGTGTGCTACACAGAGCTCTGACTGCAGTGCAAGATGTGAGTTTTGTGTCATCTTTTCTCACCCTGTTTTTTTGATCCCCTAAGTTTTCAAAGGCTTTCCTTTTAAGAGTTTTTTTGTCTCGAAACAGTGTATGTTTCACTTTTTTAGTGTTTTGAAGTTTGCTCATTTTAGTAAACATATTATATAAATAAGTCAATTAAGATTATGGATATTGTGTAGAGAATTTTTAACCTCAAGAACCATGGGTAAGCCTGGTTATATGATTTCTTTTTAAAATTTTTTTTTACTGTGTGTTAGTGGCTAAATATTATTAGTGCGTTGTGCTAATAAAAAGTAGAATTAGTTCATGTTCCTTTTTCAGATTGTACAGCTGGGTGGTAATGGAAAATTCAGGTTTACTTTTTTTTATTTTTGCCTTCAGCTAAAATAGTGCAGTCTTGAGCCTTTATGGTCTTGGATTCTGCTGGCTGTCAGATGCAGTTTTTGTTTGCCCGTCGCTGTGTGGTTGGATATTTTCAAGAATTAGTATGGCTTTTAAATTTTTTTCCTTACCTGTAATTTTTTTCCTGTCTACCTGAAGTGGTGGGAGATGGAGACATTCGTCTGTCTTACTGGGTGATGAACTTACACCCTTAGGGAGTTAAGCCTGTGGTGGCAGTGGGAGAAAAGGATTTCCTTGGAAAGACTTCTCTTAGCCTTTCTGATTGCAACATGAACCATTTTTTTTTGGTGCATCAGGTTGAGTAAAACAGGCAGCTGAGGAAATCAGGGACAGTTCTGATCTGTTAAACAAGTTGTTCCTGTACACAGCAAATTATAACAAGTTAATGTTCTAATGCTGTGGGTTATTGGAGGCTGCCTACAGAATAAAGTCTGTTATGGCTGCCTATATACTTCAGAACTGATCAGAAGCCCATGGTGTCTCATGGTGAAGGTATTTTAGCCTCATTTAACTTGGAATGCTGTACAACAGCCCTGGAGTTTATAGTTGGATATCACTATGACTTTAATATCTCCATAGGTATATCTCACCAATCCTGCTTTTATGGTATATTCTAATTTCTTTATAGCTCTCAATTTAAATAATATTTTTCCACGTTATAACTTCAGAAGAATTAGAATTGTCTTTGTGTCAGGTTAAAAGAAAATGCTGTAGGCTGATTCAAGTTTGTAGACAAAACAGATATATTCATGTTTGTTCAGTGTTTTGTTGATCATTTGAGCAAATGGGGATAATAAACTGCTCTGACTGTTAAAGATGAATTTTCCTCTCTTGGTCCTTAAATATGTGCCAAATGGTGACTGTAAGGAGTGATTTAGTGGAAACCAGCAGTGCCTGGCTAATATTGCTTAATAGCGTGATGTCATCATTTACGAAATGAAGACTTAGAGTCTGTTCTGGGATCATGCTTTTACAATAGCAGATAGTAGCTGAATCCTCTTTAAATTATCTGCTTATTTCTATTTTTGTATCTTGGTAATGGAATGAGCTGCTCTGCTGGAATAGAGCAAAAGAACTACTGTGTTTACCAGTTGGGTATGCTGCAGAAGACAGGTGCTTACCAAACAGGTAATAAAACAATAGAATTATTTGAAAAAATATTGTAAACATTTACTTGCTTATTGTTGGCAGGTAGGGTTTTAATGCACCACAGAATTTAATATAATGAAGCTGTTGAGGAACTCAATAGTTTTTTAAAGCTAAGGTGGTTTGTCCTACTACTGTGTTTGAATTTGAGAGTGAGTGGTGTTTATTATTTTTTTCTTTTTACTTTCTGTTCCTTATTCATGCTGTTTAAGATTTTTTTTTTTTTTTGGTGAGATTTTAGGTGAAATTCTGAGCCTGACAATTATTTTTAAGTATAACCATATTTTAAAAGTTCTCCAACAGACAGACCAAGCACGGAAAAAAAAAATAACAAACAACTATTCCTGGCATTGAAATCCTAAAATATTATTTTTATAATACCAGCTAGTTGGGTTTGCATCTAGCTGACCTAAAATTTTTGCGAGAAATTCAGGTGGTGAAATTTTTTGTTGTTTGTTTGTTTTTAAAATATTTATCATAGCAGCTGTCAAAATATTTACTCAGTATATACTTTAAGAGCTGAAAACAGGACCTTACAAATATATGCTCTGAGACATCTTTTTAAATATGTAGACTCAGAAACCATCAGAATAGTTTAAAGTGTATTTCAGAAATCTTTTCAGAAGTGTCTTTTTATATGTGTAAGGTTAGTACAATTGTAGAAGAAAACCACAGCTGACTTGTTTGAAGGATTTGTATGTGACTGTATGCATCACAATGCTAAATAGAGGTTAGTAAAAGAACAGGCAGGGTTTTTTTGCATTTGCTGTAGCATTTAAGAGTGAACATGTTCTCAGTTGTAAAAATTTGTTTCAAAAAAATGTACAATCCAAATGAAACATGCAAAGTTGAACATGGCAGATTCAGATTGTGGCGTTAAAGAAGGGTAATGCCACCACTGCCGTGTGCGAGCTGGCAAATGGCAGCTGTACCTGTGCTGTGTGAAATGTGCCTTCCTGTTGCAGCTCTCTGCTTTCCTTGTGTTACAAGGCAGGGTAGCCAATACTGTGGAACTGTTGTAATGGCCAGCTGTGTAAGTCAAATCAGCAAGAATTGTAGAAGAGATGTTAATTTTATCAGTGATGTGAGTATTCTCACTGCTTACAGCCCCCATATTATTTCTGTGTATGGAAAGCCTGCTTCACTTCAAGTGCTTCTGCTAGGAGAGTAAAAATACACCAACTTTGGTGGTAAAGTAATGGAGCTGGAGCCGTGGCTGCCTCGGGTTAACAACAGGGCTGGATACGCATAAAGTACCTGTGAGCACTGTGTCCATATATTATCAGCAGCTCTGCAGGGCATATTCAGCTCCCAGTTGCATCTCTAATCAGCCCTGTACAGCAAAGGATGACCTGGAGCTTGGTGTTTATACATGAAATACAAGTCAGTTTCTGTACCCAAGTACAGAGTTTTGGTTAGAAAAGACTGGGAGGTGTTGATGTGCAGCTAAGTCCCATGACTTCCCCCCACAATCTCTGCTCGTTTGCCTTTAAAGACTGTTCCATAATACTGTTTGGGATCCAGAATACTCTTTACATAAAAACCTCTAACCTCTCTCCTTGTTTTCTTATCACTGCAGATAACATTGTTTTGCTTGAGTAATGCCCCAGGAAATTGTTCTGAGTATATTTTCCATAAGAAAAAATAAGGGAGCCTCTCCTAAGGGCCTTCGGAATCTGTGCTTGAAGCTCTTTGCAACAGAAGGGAGGGAAAGGAGATTTTGGTTTGATTTTTGAGTGCAGTTTTACAAGCGGATCAGGCTGATCTAACAGTTTGCCGTCAATGAAAAGGGCAATCTCACTCACAGCTGTGCAGCCTTCCCCATCTTCTCCTGAGTTCTGGTGTGGCTTTTCCCTGAGCTGATTATTTTCACAAAGCCAACGGGAAATGTTCCAATGTATTAGGGGCACTTTTTGAAATGAATCGGCAAGGGGAATCAATGTACTGAAAGGGCCTTTTGGGTCAGTAGTGGGGACAGCATTAAATATCTTACCATCACCAAAAGTAGCAGTCACCTTTTAGATATCCTCTGTTTTAATTGATTTGTGGAAAATGAACTCCTAAATATTTTAGATAAATGGAAAAACAAGCATCTCGCCAGAGTTTTATTTTAGGTGCAGGCATGATAGGTTTTATTATTACTGCTTATAAGAGATAAAATGACCACTGGGTAAATGTCTCTTAAGTAAGGCATTAGCTTAAGATGGAGTCAATAAAGAACTGAAATGAGGTACAGCAAATATTTTTAAAAGTAAGCCCAAGTGCAAAGAGATACGCCTCTGACTTTATTTTACCATTAATACAGAAAATCAACTATAGCTGTGTTTAATTGTCAGACACATCTCAAATATAATTTCTTTTTTATTGAAGATCTGATTTTTTAAAATTGCATACTTGACTATATACCTAATATACTTTTGCTGCAGTTTTTCTCTGGGTTTCTTCTGAAGAATGTGTGCAGAAATTTACAATGAATATATTTTAGTCAAGTAGTGAAGTAATTGAAATTTAGTGCTTCATACAAGGTGTGTATCAGTACAAGTCCAGGGTGGATATAGAAGTATTTCTTCATACTTAACAGATACTCATGTGGGGTATATTGATATACATGTGTGGAGTATATGTATATAGTGAGGATAATTGACTTGTTTTCCTTTGATAATTGTGAAGGAATTGACTTGTTTTCCTTTGATGCATGGTGAAGAGAGCTTATCAATTTTTTTATTGCTATTGGTCACTTACTAGATTATCTTTGTATCGCATTTGCAGGGTCTGTTTATGCATCTTCTGGACTTCAAACACTTTAAAGGTTTTCTCATACATAGTGTTACTATGAGCTTTCATGTGACAGCTGAATCAATGTAATGGCTCAGTGTTGTGGACAGGATTGTACCCTTCCACCTGTGTAGTTGTCTTGTATATTCATTTTTGGTATTCGTGTTGCATGTCTATCTTTGGTGAGACTATTCCACTTGCTAAACCAGAGGAAACCCCCCTTCCCTTTGAATACCAGTGGATAGGCAGCAAACTGGAGCACGATGAGAAGTAACCAACAGCAAGTTTTGGAAG